GTAACATGAATCAAGGGATTTAATAGAATCTGCATCATGATTTACAAAAACGTGAGACCATTCTGTAGAATGTCTGACATATGAGGTGTGGGCAATAAAAGTGTAAAATATGCGGTATGTCTTAAGCTAGAATGTGTTCAAATAACTTTCATTTCACTCTGAGGCAACGCTTGACAGTTTTCAAAGAGACCGGCAATTTATGTAAATCCTTCGCTTATACAAGCTGTAGCCGTGTGAATTATGCTTCTATAGCTATAAAAGTAATTCAAGTCCACTTCAAAATGTTATAACCCGGATCCCGTAATTCTGATCAGCTTTGTAGACCCGGATAGACACTAACCTGTACATGAATACCCGTTTCTCAACACCGACATCAATCAGGTGTAGACCGTTAATAGGCGATGGCGAGTTAGTGAGTTTAGCCTTACGTCGCTTTTAGCAATATTCCATCAATATCACGGCGTGGGACAGCAGAAATGAGCTTCACACTTTGTACCCATGTGGGGAATCAAACCCGGGTCTTCGGCGTGACGAGGGAACGATTTATTCACTAGGCTACCCCACCGCCCCGATGGCGAGAAGAGACAAAGCCCTGCAAAGTTACTCCTTCTGGAGGACATTACAAACGTCAATGGACATTAAGTCTGGCCTGATGGTCATCCCAAGGAAGTTTGATTCCAATCGTTTCCACCAAGTGTTAATGATGAATATCAGTGTCTCCTTACCCAACTATAGTCCCTCCCTAATTTGAACATTTCAAATTTTAGATATATGTGAAAAAAGAATACGGTGATGTTGCTCCATAGGTTTGAAATCCAAAAGGAAACCTTTCCCCGTCTTTACAAGAGGATATATAATTTGTGTGTTTTAAGTTTTCCTTTGTCGTGTGCAAGAGCTGAATAGCATGAAGTTTCATGTTCTGCTGAACTTTCAGAAAAATTGTATAACAATTCGCGTTCTAGTTATATGTGTATGCACACGGGCAGTGCGGGCATACTGAAAGTAGAACATATAGCCAAGTTTCTGTCTTGGTGGATAAACATGCGTAACAAGCAAATATGAAGATCTACGTTTACATGATGATAATTATTGAAATATGTGACGAGACTAGAATGTGTGTCAATACTCCCGGTTGTATTCACACATCCTTAGAGCCTGGATGACAAAACAACTCTGTTACCAGACTAGAATGTGTGAATACTACAGCTTGTATTCACACATCCTTAGAGCGTGGATGACAAATCAACTCTGTTACGAGACTAGAATGTGTGAATACTACAGCTTGTATTCACACATCCTTAGAGCGTGGATGACAAAACAACTTTGTTACGAGACTAGAATGTGTGTCAATACTACAGCTTGTATTCACACATCCTTAGAGCGTGGATGACAAATCAACTCTGTTACGAGACTAGAATGTGTCATTACTCCCGCTTGTATTCACACATCCTTAGAGCGTGGATGACAAATCAACTTGTATTCACACATCCTTAGAGCGTGGATGACAAAACAACTCTGTTACGAGACTAGAATGTGTGTCAATACTACAGCTTGTATTCACACATCCTTAGAGCGTGGATGACAACACAACTCTGTTACGAGACTAGAATGTGTGTCATTACTCCCGCTTGTATTCACACATCCTTAGAGCGTGGATGACAACACAACTCTGTTACGAGACTAGAATGTGTGTCATTACTCCAGCTTGTATTCACACATCCTTAGAGCGTGGATGACAACACAACTCTGTTACGAGACTAGAATGTGTGTCATTACTCCCTCTTGTATTCACACATCCTTAGAGCGTGGATGACAAACTCTGTTACAACTCTGTTCATTACTCCGCGTATTCACACATCCTTAGAGCGTGGATGACAAATCACTTGTTACGAGACTAGAATGTGTGTCAATACTACAGCTTGTATTCACACATCCTTAGAGCGTGGATGACAACACAACTCTGTTACGAGACTAGAATGTGTGTCATTACTCCCGCTTGTATTCACACATCCTTAGAGCGTGGATGACAACACAACTCTGTTACGAGACTAGAATGTGTGTCAGTACTACAGCTTGTATTCACACATCCTTAGAGCGTGCATACAAAACAGCTGTTACAAGATTAGTATGTGTGTCGTTACTGCAGTGTGTATTGAGAATTCTTCAGCTCCTTGCTGAGTTTGCAGTAAGGGAAATCACTGATGACACCAGATGTTCTTGAAAGTGGCAAGCATTCCTGTCCTACCGGTAGCACTCGCTACATCTGTCTCTAACACCAATCCCACCCGTCTGACACCACTGAAATGCTACATGGTTCGTCCCTATGGAGCCACACTCACAAATACGCCAATCATTGACTGTCATACTAGTCTGTCGTACGGACCCTGAAGCAAATATATCCAAGAAAGCCTACGCAAGTCTAGAAAATGTGGCAAGTCTAGATTTCCTCAGAAAATGAAGAAAGTCTCAGGGCTCCTTTTCATTATATTATAATTTTTTTTACTATGAACTTTTTTCAGTAAAATATGTTCATTTCAGAGACTAGTTGTTAGTCTAACTGTCATACGTGCGTTAAGTTATATGGAGCTACAGGAAAAGAATTGCCTTAAGATTTCCGCCACCACATACTGTAGATGGTGTACATGTGTATTTGCTCAAAAGCGTATTAAGTAAATACGATAGCTCTGGTTGTTATTGATTATCAACAGTACATGCCGCCGCAACCTGGTGATCCAACAAGGAACATTCTACATTCCTCCTCACGTTATTTTGTCGATGGAACATAAACTCTTTTTTCTCGTTAAAAAGAGGAACATGATCCTCGGAGTGTTTAGCCAGGTCACTCAATAATATACACTAACATCTAGTCTCTGAAATGAACATATTTTACAGAAAACAAAACGGTTCCTAAATTACGTTCATAAAATATAATGAAAAGGAGCCCAGAGACTTTCTTCATTTTCTGTGGTAATCTAGACTTACCACATATTCTAGACTTACATGGGCTTTTGTGGATATATTTGTTTCAGGGTCTGTATGACTGTCCATCATGCTGAACTGCCGGCAAAAGAATGAATACTCTTAAAAATTAAATATATGCACTTGAAAATTGACAGCTGTCGAAACACTGATCCAAAACATAAATTTGATATTGAACACAACTTTGATATCAATATAGTACGTTAACTAATAATGATATTATTTCATTTTTAGCAGGAGTCAAATATAGGTATATGTTTCCATTTGTCCTGTACGTTATTACTAGTGTTTGCAAATAAATCATCATCATTGTGCTAGTTTCGATACGACTGAATCGATCCTAATCTAATGACATACATACTTGCATATGGCACATTACATCTATATAATATCTATTAAGTATATCACACAGTAATGACTCGCATCTCGCTCACAGACAATGATTTTTGTAATGTGTCTACCCGCAACAGGTTGCAAAGTAACTGTCGTTAAAAGATTGTATCCAAGTCTGTCACGCCACAATTTGATTGGAAGAATGGGGGCAGTATATCAAGGGTGTCAGGGGAAATATAGATTCTGATCAATTTATATATGTAACAAAACAGACTCTGGAGACTGACTTTGCGCCTTTGAAGATATACACTTACGCACCAGCTGAACTATGGAGTGTAATATCAGCTTGCATATATGTATTCATTACACACATCTGTTAGTTTATCAAAATAGAGATTATTCACATATTGAAACCAGCTTGCCTCTGAGGGAAATGGAGAAAGTAATTTAAGAATTTATTATGTTTATATAATAACGAGGCGTTGCTAACTCTATGTTGTTATCTTTGTTGATATAAACAAATTAATGGAGAATTTCCAAAAACAATATAAATCTTATCCGAGAATGGTTTAACTTATACATAATGCTAGGATTTTCCTTCGTGGCTCAGGCTGTTTTTAGCAATTTTGTTTACATGCTTTGGTAAATGCTTATCTTTAAGAGCGGTGAAGTAATTTATTCCTTTTCTATAAGGGAAGCAAGTCTGTCAGGCGGTGTTTTTTTCAATGTGAAAACATTTAGTCTGGACCTCATGAACCCTTTTCCCACTTTCCATTCCGAACGTTGCTTTAAGTAAAGCAAACTACGTTTATAACGAACACTCATATAACGAACTGACGGATATAGCAAGCTGTTATTTTGTCCCGATCCTTGCTTGTTAGTTGAAATGCGTACAACGAACTACGGTAAAACGAACTACATTTAATGCCTCCCTTAATAGTGAGTGAGTGAGTGAGTTGAGTTTTACGCCGCGTTTAGCAATATTCCAGCATCACCACGGCGGGGGACACTAGAAATGGTCTTCACACATTGTACCATGTGGGGAATCGAACCCGGGTCTTCGGCGTGACGAGCAAACGCTTTAACCACTAGGCTACCCCACCGACCCTTGAGTTCGTTATAACCATAGTTACAAGCATAGTGACGTTTTTATCGTTCCCTAATAAATAGGGATTCGTTACACATGCATAATCTATCACAATAGAAAGGTGCATGTGCTACCTTAATGCATAGACATAACTAATAATAAGTAGGAGAAACAGTACTTCATGTTTCAAGTATTAAGGGGGTGGTGTGTCCTGATCATTGGCGGATCCAGAGGGGGGTGGGGTGTTCAGGGGTTCGGAAACCCCCCCTTTAACAATAACTTAAGACCACATTGAAGATTAAATTTTGCGTTGGCGGAGCCAATGGGGGTGTGTTGTGGGTGTGTGTGTCAGGGGGTTCAAAATTCCCGGATCCGTCCATGCTGATCGTACGCTACAGCGAACGGCTGGTACACACATGCGAGATGAAAGTATTAACGTCTGTTTGCTGTCACAGTGAAATCAATTTCGTTTTTGAATTAATATGAATCATTCGCAAACATATGTCGCAAACGGTGACGCTACATATATCGGACAACAATTCAGTCCTCACGATACGGTCATGCTTGATTTCCTGGAACGTATTTTTCTGTTGTGCAACAGGAACTAACAGGATGCGAAAGGTGACGACATAATGGAATAGTGTGATTGGCGGTACAGAGACCTGTGACCACACGCTGGCTATGGATGCATAAACTCGGTGAGCCACAGACAGCAGGGAGCAGAAACTGAAGGTAGATTGCCATTTCATTTTCCTCTCGAATCCTTTTTTAATTTTAGTAATTATCTAATCCAATCATTATCATGTCCAGAAAACTTTACTAAATATAATGGTTTTTGACAACTTTTTAATATGTTGTCTATGCCAGGATCTAACATCTGGAGATTATTCCTTGAATGTCTTCACTGTGTTGCTTATGAGTTCTGGCCCTGAGTTCTCGAAACAAACTTAAGTCTGAGTTTTAACTTAAGTTTTGACTCAAATTTGAGAAAATGCATTTCCCAGAATGAACTGAAATTGATATTAAACTCAAACATAGTAGACAATTTGAGTTTGGTGGATAGAATACATAAGTTGTTTAGGCTTTTTTATTTTAAAAATGCAGCTGAGTTATAAATACAGCTATTTCAAATTGTCAAACTCGGTTTGAAATTTGAGTACAAACTTAAGTTTGCTTCGAGAAATCGGGGCCAGTTGTTTATCCTTGTGAGACTTACAATGTCTAGCCTCCAGTGTCAGTATCTTCTCCATGGATATGACTTCTGTTTTGAGTATTTTCTTCAACTTTCCCAGGTACCATCTATGCCAGTGTTTAACTGCCAAAGATATACTATGATCGTATTTCCTTTCGCTTTTTTTCTCTACATTACATACGTTCCCGACCCGTGAAGATCCGGGTTAGAATTGGTCTTCAGCAACGAATGAACCCATGTCGTAAGAGGCGACTAACGGGATCGGGTGGTCAGACCCGCTGACTTGGTTGACACATGTCATCGTATCCCAATTGCGTAGATCGATGCTCACGCTGTTGATCACTGGATTATTTGTTCCAGACTCGATTATTTACATTTTACGCCATATAGCTGGATTATATATTGCTGAGTGTGGCGTAAAACTAAACTGACTCACTCATTGTAGTAAGTTCTGTTCTGAAGATCGGTTTCGAAGTATCGAGATAAGGTGGCGGTATGGTTAAGGTGTTGGCCATCTCTCATGATATTGTAATAGCACAATCAACTCCATTGATTTACCAATCATTGTTTTACAGTTTTATTGTTTTATTATACAAATATATAGAAACAGTCATTACCACGTTTATCGAATGAAACGGTGGTCTGGTCGCCATTCACTGTTCAGAGTTGCGCCCCTTGTACACGCCAGGCCGCTTTGATCATGGATTTGAATTCCGGTTCCAAGATTGTATTCCTGGAATAGTAAGCACCATGTACCCTTGGAAGATTCTTCAAGTGTAAATGCTAAAACCTGCATCACTTCAGGATTCCCTCAAGCATAAATCTGACACCCATCGATAGGAATGGAATACTGTTCAAACACTCACTCACACACTCTAAGTTTGCGACTAGGCGTGTGTGCTTTTATGCATCAAGTTATGTCTTCTCTCGCCATACTGTAGCTGACAATACGGCATGTACTACCAGGCGAACCAAACATGTAGACAGTTGTACTATTGGGTATGGCAATGTAAATACGATTTGTTTAACACCTAAACGGTATTTGTGTTTTATCATCCAAAGATGGAGATCTTCCACAGGAGATATCGTTAGGGTGAGACTACTTTCCCACGATATATTATATTTTTTTCCAATTAAATTGCATCACAATACTTTAATGATCATTGTGATGTCATCGGTTACTCTGACACTGGAGCCGGATAATAGTACTTTTTACACTTAAGTCACTGAATATTACTGTTTGTTAACTGGAAAATTTTGGCATAAAATATATCAACACTCGTTATCAAAAGTTAACATTTGCGGCAAGCCTCGGAGTTTATTTACTGTCTCACGTAGGACTGTATTTGATGTCAAGTGGCACATAGTGAGATTTTTGCATACCATAGTTGGAGAGCTGTGGGAATAGCCTAGTGGTTAAAGCGTTCGCTCGTCACGCCGAAGACCCGGGTTTGATTCCCCACATGGGTACAATGTGTGAAGCCCATGTCTGGTGTCCCTCGCCGTGATATTGTTGGGATATTGCTAAACGCGGCGTAAAACTAAACTCATTCACTCATTCGTTGTTGGAGGAATGCCCAAGGTGTGATAAAGGTCTTGGACATTGCCACTGTTGTGACACCCACTGGTACTAATATGATGCTGAACACCCTAACACCATATCAGGGCAATCCCAAGGCTAAACCTGCTGCGCCCTGGGTACTACAGATATTTGATATTACATTCATTAACCACCTCTCTGGAGATAGACGTTATTTTCCCACCGGGAAATATATTTTGGACATTTTGTAAAAAACATTGCGTTTTGATACCTCAGCTTATATTTTATCAATCAGGCTATGTTATATACCTCAGCTTATGCTCCCTATCGTACAGTTGGCACGGCCAGAGTTGAACACCTTCCTCCCTATTCACTATGTGGTTCACCCGTTACATTTTCCGCTTCTGTTCCGGATCACAATATAATGGAAGAAACGTCAAACATTACCACGAAATATCCATAATTGTTCGTCTAACCGTGTTGAAAATGACATTATAGTCAATAGTTATGTACTATGTAGATCATCACGATTCATCGACAAGTTAGTGGAAAGAGACATTTGTCAAATTTATGAATGTGGGTTTATTCATGTAAATTGAAAAGAGAATTCATACTTAATGTGGTCGCGTATAGATTTTCAGTAAATGTCGGGTTTAGCTAACTTGACGAAATTCACTACTCGCTTAGACGGAAACGATGATTTGATTATCCCTATTGGTTCGTGAGTTATATCTAAACTGAGGTACATTTTACATCGTTCTATCCATCTTCTGGCTATGACCGACTGGGTTTGATCCAACGTATTTCTGTTCATTTCTGATCTGACATCGTTCTAAGCAACTTTTGGCTATGTCTGGCATCTTTCTAACCAAGTTCTGGGTACATCTGACATCGTCCTAAGCAACTTTTGGCTATGTCTGGCTTGTTCTAACCAAGTTCTGGGTACATCTGACATCGTCCTAAGCAACTTTTAGCTATGTATGGCATCGTTCTAACCAGGTTCTGGCTAAATCCGACATCGTCCTAAGCAACTTTTAGCTATGTCTGGCATCTTTCTAACCAAGTTCTGGGTACATCTGACATCATCCTAAGCAACTTTTGGCTATGTCTGGCATTGTTCTAACCCAGTTCTGGGTACATCTGACATCGTCCTAAGCAACTTTTGGCTATGTGTGGCATCGTTCTAACCAAGTCCTGGGTACATATGTCATCGTTCTAAGCAACTTCTGGCTATGTGTGGCATCGTTCTAACCAAGTCCTGGGTACATCTGACATCGTTCTAAGCAACTTCTGGCTATGTCTTTCATTGTTCTAACCAAGTCCTGGTACATCTGAGATCGTTCTAAGTAACTTCTGGCCATGTATGATATCGTTCTAACCAACTGGTTATTTGACCTATCCTTGATGTTTCCCCATATTCTGCCATTATCTGACATCGCTTTAACAAACTTCCTGAAGAGCCCTTTTCGCGTTTTATATCGTCTTCCATTTTGCACTTCATAGAACCACCTTCAATTGCAATTTCATTTCAGTGGTCAACAATCAGTTCAGACATTATTATATTCAGTTCTGTTGCTGTTCTTATTCGATTTATAAGATCCACACAAGAGAAATCATAATGCCCATGCAAATAGGAAGCCCAGGAACAAGTATTGTGTACTCATCAAAAAAGCACGAATTGACATTTTGGACAATAGGAGTTAAGGAAACGTTCTTGCGTACGCCTAAACTGTAGCAACCGTAACTGGCCAAATATTTACTTTGATATACATTGCCATTTTTTCCTTTAAAACTTCCTTCTTTTCTTCATTGCCCAAGTGGATTATCCGATTGTTCTGATGTAAGATCGCCAATAGTTGAATGGGATGCAAGGGACGTCTATTCCTGTCAGTTCTATTTTCAGATTCTTTTAAGTGAACCTGCATCTTCACAGAACCATTGATTTGACAAACGAATGTCGATTCTTCTGTTTAATGTCATGAAACGGCAGGATTGTCTTGACGTTATAATTACAGCCGTCGACGTTTTGGGCTGTCTCGTTCCAACTGGACATGTTTATAATGAACTCATTATGTTTACGTCACTTTAGAAACATAACTAGATAATTATTTGTTTGATGGATCGCCACTCCATGACAATGTCCTTTTGATTGTCGATTTCCTTTCAAATAGCTGAGACACATATAAATATGTCGTTGTTTTGGATGTCACATTGTCCTTTACAGGTCAGCTTTTCATCTGCCAGTTACTGATAGTGAGAACTGTAATCTTTTTAAGGGGACTTTAAGAGCCCATGACAAAAATGGGATGGCGTGAAATACGACCCAATCATGACTACAAATGTTCGTTTGATGAATCACGAAGTTTATGGGAATCTGTCGGCCGTTCATAAAATTTAAGTATAATACGCTTTATGTCATATTCCGTGCCTCTTGTTTACTTTTGAAAATAGAGCCTAACCAGACACACCAGTGATCTTAAACCAGCAATGCACTAATATTGCTATCTTGGCGATACCATCAATGTCAAGCAGTTCGTTTATATGAATTTCCATTTTCATCCCAACTTCAGATCGGACATTAGGCTCCTAGAGACATTATAAGCTATACTTAGATCTGGAGGGTGAAGACCCAGACTATAATAACATCCCAGAAGGATGCATAGTTATCCAAAATATCATTAGACACTTATTAGATTATGAGGTTTAATGTGCATTTTACATCAAGGTTTGTAGTTTTTAGACGGTCTGATAATATAAACATTAAACCTGAGATTTCACAGATTGCCTGTCTTTTGAGGTATTGCCGACCATGTTCTTTCAACGAAGATTTCAAACAAACATTCTTGTTCAAAAGTTGTTTGATGGGTATTCCAATGTCTAAGGCCTTAACATAAAAGGACACTTTGAGGACATTGATTTCAGAAGTCGTTAATGGGTACCAGGTAAGATCTAACTTCTTAAGGTTCTTCTCAAGTCCACTAATTGTGTTTGTACATAAAA